GTCCATGAACATAGGGAAGCAGAGGCTAACAGGCCACTGGAAGTTTGCACATATGAACTTATGGTTTGGTGGCTTCGAGCACAGGACCCATGCCAACTCAATCAGAAGAAGCATGGTTCTTTGACATGTTCCTGACCCTAGGAGAGAAATGCTTGATACTCATCACTAAGAGTGAAGTCAGCCAAAGAGTTTTCACCAAATCTCTCTTGAATATCTGCCAAACTCTTTTGAATTTGTTACTGTTTTTCATATACTAGGATGGCTTATAATTTTTCTTACATGTCTCTAAAATAAATGCTACTTAGTCATGATATATGGCTATATTGCTCCAAATCCTGTGTCTGAACTACATTCTTTCTTCAGAAGTAGGGTCTTACCTTCAAGTTCTGGGAGTTATCAAAGGCTGTGGCAATATCCTGTGTAATTTTGGGAGTCTCTTGGGCTACTCTGGCCAACAAACACAAAGGAGGTTTCTCCTGTCTGGCACTGTTTCTTGTTATGTAGCCTTCAACGACATACATGGACTCATATAGTGATATTGAATATGTAATTTTTTATTACGTTGTTGGACTAATATGATTTCCTCTGGTTTTTTACACTAGCTAGGCATTATTTTTCTCTTCTCTATCTCTCCCTGTCTAACTCCTCCACCATGGCTTTCAATTTTAAATAGTTCCCCTTATCCCTATTTCTCTCTTGATAATACCAGTCTCCTATGGTCCCAGCTCTCTTTAGCTCCATTTTTCTCTCTTTCCCCAAAGTTCGTTGAATAACCCTCCCTTCCCTCCCATTTAAATACCCCCATTTTGGTGTCAACAACACAGTAGACAGTAACAGGGATGACAGAGTATATGGGCTCAAGTATGTGGGAGGAGGGGAGGCAATGGGAGGGTGCAATTTGGGAAGTGGATATAAGGATTAATAAGATTGTGTGGGATGTTGTGTATGATATACACACAGAAAAATCAATAAAATTTTAAAAAAGACATTTGAGGAGGAAGCATAAAAATTTACTTCATGTTAAATAGTAGAGGTGATAAACATAATAAGTGAAATATACCTGATAAATTTATATCCATATTCAGGTACTAAGGATCTGAGTGTAACTGACTGTGACTAGTAATCATCAGACACATGGAGATTAAAGACACATGTGCAAACATCTAAGTGTTAGTAGCATTAAAAATGTAGGAAACAGCATATTTTAAAATGAAATGGAGAGCTTCTTTAAAGGGTAAAAACTCATTCAAGTTTATATCTTACAGGGTTTATACTGAGTTCAATATTCTATAACTGTATTAATTCAACTATGAACCTAAAAATTTACAGCCACTTTTGAAAGAGATGTATCCTCTCTCTGGAGTGTTACTGAATATGTTAAAGCTGTAATGAAGTGTTCCTTCTAATCATGTGGTTATTAATTTTTTTAATTTAAAAATAATAATTCTTCAAAGCATGAAAATTTGTTCCTTAATAATTAGTAGATGTGAAAAACATTACCACTGAAATCTACCTGATGACTTTATGTTGTGGGTTCTCCTCAGGCCAGCTGTGAAGACCCTAACCTGGATCGGCTCATGACACACAGACCCCGGGAGTCGGGTAGAAGCAAGCACTAGGCGAGGTGCTGCAGACACGTTTAATGCAGGAGGAGGCACACCTTATATCCCCCTTTTCTCTGCCCCCAAGTCCCTTTAGTCAGCGTATCGTTTTCTGATTTGTCCGCACCATGCAGTCTGTCAGCAGTCTCTGGGCTCGTGAGCAGGGTATAGAGGTGTGGGCTCCTTTGGGGGGCTATTTGTGGACCAAGAAGTGAAGTGAATTCTTGCTGAATCCCAGGGCTCTGGGTCCACATCATCTTTGGACGCCTCCTGCTACAACTTTATATCCATGCTCAGATGCCAAGGAGCTTAGAAAGTAACCGACTGTGACTATTAATAATCAGATATCTAGAGATTAGACACGCATGTGCAAACATCTTAGTGTTAATTGCACTAAAAATGAATTTTTCAGTATGAAACAGTGTGTTTTTATAATGAAATGGAGATGTTTTTTAAAGGTTAAAAACTCATTTAATTTTATGTCTTATAGAGTTTATACTGAGTACAATATTGCATAACTGTATTAATTCAACTGTAAACCTAACGAATTACGGGCAATTTTGAAAGGGGAGCAACTTAGGTTTTTAAATTGGTTTTGAATATGTCAATGCTGTTGTAATGAAATGCTTCTTCTAAGTATGTGGTTATTAAATAACTAATTTTTAAAAAAAATAAATACCCCCATTTTATCCACTTCTCCCTTATCCTGTCTCCTACTGTTCTTCTCTCTCAGGTTCCTTCTATCCCTTTACCTCCCTGGCTCCTTTTTATTATCCTGGTTCTTACAGTTACATCAGGATACATACTCACATGTAAGGATTTGGTGCTAGGCTTTATTCCAGAGATGCAGGGATGGTTCAATATACATAAGTTAATAAATGTCATAAATCATATAAATGGACTTAGACGAAAGATATATGATCATCTCAATAGATGCAAAGGTCTTTGACAAAATTTGACATGTATTTATGTTTAAAATCCTAGAGGAAATTGGACTGGAGGGAACATACCTCAGCATAATTAAATCTATATACAACAAACCCACAGTCAACATCATTCTAAATGGAAAAAAAATGGAAACATTCCTATTAAAATCAGGAACCAGACAAGACTGTCCACTATATCCAATTCTTTTTAATATTGTGCTTGAAACTCTTGCCAGAGCAATAAGACAAGAGAAGGAAATAAAGGAGTATTAATTGGAAAAGGGTCAAACTATCCCTTTTTGTAGATGATATAATTTTATACCTAAGGGACTCCAAAAATTCCACCAGAAAACTCCTAGAAATGACTAACACTTTCAGTAATGTGGCAGGTTATAAAATTAATCTAAAAAAAAAGTAGCCTTTCTATATATCAATAACAAGCAATTGGAGAAAGAGTTCGTGAAAACTCTCCCATTCACATTAGCCTGAAAATAAAATAAAATATCTCAGAATAAACCTGACCAAACACATCAAATGCCTGTACAATAAAAATTTTAAGTTTAAAGAAAGAGATTGAGGAGGATACCAGAAGATGGAAGGACCTCCTGTGCTCATGGATTGGAAGAATTAATATTTTGAAAATGACCATCTACCAAAAACCATTTATAATTCAATGCAATGCCAATCAAAATCCCCATGACAGTCTTCACAGAATTAGGGGAAAAAAGGGGCCTAAAATTGATATGGACACACAAAAGACCCTGCATAGCCAAAGCAACCCTGAGCACAAAGAGCAATGATGGGTGTATTACTATACCAGATTTAAATATATATTGCAGAGCTATAGTCATTAAAAATAGCATGATACTGGCAGAAAAATAGACCTGTAGATCAATGGAATATAATTGAAGACTCAAACATGAGTACATGCAATTTCAGTCACCCGATATTTGACAAAGGGGCCAAGAACACTGACAGGAGGAAAGACAGCATCTTCAGCAAATGGTGGTGGCAAAACTGGATTCCCACCTGTAGAAGAATGAAACTAGACCCTTACCTTTCACCTTGCACAAAAGTCAACTCCAAATGGATCATAGACCTCAATTTGAAACCCTACACTCTGAAACTGTAAGAATAAAACATAGGCAATAACCTACAAGATATAGGTATAGGAAAGGACTCTCTAAACCAAACATCACTTGCTCAGGAATTAGTCAAGAATCAACAAGTGGGAGCTCATTAAACGTAAAAGCTTCTGTATATCAAAAGAAACAACCAAGGAAATGAAGAGAAAACCCACAGAGTGGGAGAAAAATCTTCAAAAGAGGCACACCTGACAGAGGTTTAACATCCAGAATATATAAACAGCTTAATAAGTAAAGAGTCAACAAACAAGTGACTCAATTAAAGGATGAGCCAACGATTTATTTATTTATTTCATCTCTGTGAGTTCAAGGCCAGCCTGGTCTACATGTGAGTTCCAGGGCAGCTGGGGCTACAAGGAGACCCTGTCTCAAAAAGACCAAAAAAAAAAAAAAAGATGAACTAAAGATGGCTGAGAAACATCTTAAAAGGTATTCAATATCATTAGTAATTAGGGAAATACAAATTAAAACCATTTTAAGATTTCTTCTTCTCCAAGTCAGACTAGCTAAGATCAAGAGAAAGAATGATACCAAATGCAGGTGAGGATGTGGAGAAAGGGGAACACTGATCCACTGCTTGAGAGATTGCAAACTTGTGAAACCCTTATGGAGATCAGTGTAGAGAACCTTTGAAAATCTAAAAATGAATTTACCATTTAACACAATTATATAACTCATTGGCATATACCCAAGGAGTATTACAAATATACTTGTACATCCATGTTTGTTGTTGTTCTTTTCACAGTAGCTAAGAGATGGAAGCAACCTCAATGTCCCTCAACTAACAAGTGGATAATAAAAACGTGGTACATTTACACAACTGAGTTCCATTCAATAGTAAAGAAAGATGAAATTTACAGGTAAATGGATGGAATTAGAAGCTGTCATACCTAGATATGAGTTTTATGACATGAAGGTCATCATTATGTTGTAAAATTGGGGAATTCCACTTAAAAAATTCTACTGATGGCGAACAAAATATACTTGAAGTGTATAGTTAAAAACTGCTGAATGAAATGCTGAAGAGTTGTATGCCATCAAAATTGTCCTTCCTTTGTACCTGGACATAATTTTGGCTGAGACATATTTACTCTATTGTCCTCATGTTCAGGAAATTCGTCAGATCTTTTATTGGTGATTCTTAATGAATGAAAAAGGGAGACTATGTTAAAAGTCAAAGCAGAAACACGAGTCAGTTGAAGATATGTCAATGATATGTGGAGTGAGAATGAACGGTGCCTTCCTAGGCGACAATATGGAAAATTCTGAGAAGCACTCAAGCTGAAAAGCAGCCTGCAAGAATTTATAAACTTCAAAATCTATTTGACTTACACTTTCTTTACAAATATCCTCATAGCACCTTCCCTGATTTGTTTGGTCCTCACTCCATAGATGACTGGATTCAAACAGGGAGGAACAACCACATAGAGATTGGCCAGGAGGATATGAATGTACCGTGGTATATTTCTACCAAACCGATGGGTCATGAAGGAGAAAAATGCTGGTGTGTAAAAGGCTAAGATGACACAGACGTGGGAGCCGCACGTGCTGAGGGCTTTGACCCTGGCATCCCTGGAAGGAAGGTGGAAGACAGCCTGTAAGATCTGCACATAGGAGAGGACGATGAGAATCAGATCAAAAATCAGGGCAGCAATGGTAAACAAGCCATATATGATGTTCACCCTGATGCTAGCACAGGCTAGACGAGCAATTCCCATATGTTCACAGTATGTATGAGGGATAATGTAGTGTCCACAGAAGGGCAGTCTCTTGAGAAGTGGACAGAAAGGGATGACAAGGAAGACAGGCCTCCCAACTACAACAGAGACCATGATGGCTACCATCTTGTTGGTAAGGATAGAAGTGTATCTCAGTGGGTAGCAGATGGCAACATAGCGATCAATTGCCATGGCCAAAAGTACAACAGACTCCATGCCTGTGTAGGTGTGAATGAAGAACATTTGAATCAGGCAGCCTTCAAAGCTTATCTCCCTCAGGTTGAACCAGAAGATGCCCAACATCTTGGGAATGGTGGACGTGGAAAGGCCTAGATCGATGAAAGAGAGGAGCGCAAGGAAGTAGAACATGGGCTGGTGAAGACTCTGCTCATTCTTGATCACACACAGGATTGTGACATTCCCCACCACAGCTATCAGATATACAAGGAAGAAAGGGAAGGCAATCCAGATATGGAAAGCTTCCAGACCAGGAATGCCCAGCAGAAGGAAGGGCATGGGGTGTGAGGTGGAGTCATTGATGGAGGACATCCTGATGAGAGCTCAGGATAATCTACTAGCCTCTTCAGTATTTCTGGGGAGATATAAGAAAATATATGGAAGTTGAATGTCATTGTACTTAACAGCATGCCATTTAATCTACTAGAACCTTAGAAGGCATTATTTGGTGATTCAGAAGAGATATCAAATATTTGGCTACCCCACTTAAATTTGTATGAGGATTGTGAACCTTGTGAATCAATTTTTTGTGGGAATGTGATATAATTATTCATAATCCTCCTTAGTTCACACTTTTGTAAGATGCATATCTTCATAAAGTAATATTCATTGTGACTAAATTTCAGTAGATGATTCCTTTATAACATTTTCAAGTTACTTTGGTAACTGGTTTAAATGATATTTAAGAAAAAAAATCTCCCCAAACTGGTGTATACAAGAAGGAAAGGAATTAGAGTAGAAATGATTTTGGTGGTAAAGTTTCATAAGCAGTTTGCTTATGACTCCATCTGCCGTTCGCAGTCCCAGTTCTGGAGGTGTAGTGTTTTTTGGCCATGACAATTCTGCGATCATATCTGCCTCTTAATGAGAGTGTCTTTATGCTTTGTCTGCTGAATCAAATTATTAGTATTCTCCTCTGTTGAGGTTAAGATTTAGAAATTTGTACACAAATGATCAATGCTAAACAGCATAATTTTGATAGAGTTACAAATGTATTCAATTACATTTACTCTCTGTGCTGGGACAGTATCTCAATGGAGAAGTAGTGGTTGCCAAGCTCCATAAATCTCTGAGTTCAATTCTCATGACATCCATAAACTTTAATATCCATTTACATTAGTTTTAAGAAAACTTTAAGTAACCTGGGAGCAAAGAAAATCTTAAGCTAATATACCAAGTAGTGAAACTCTGAAATTTTTCTTGTAGGATATAGAATAAAGTGTGAGTTTCTACAAGTTCAATACACCAAGAAAAATGAAATAGGCCTTGTAGTGTTATTCAGGAAGCTGAGGAAGAAGGATCACAAATCCATGGCCTGCTTGGACTATAGAGTAAGTTCTAGGTTGGCACAGACAGCTTAATTAGACTGTATCTAAAAATTTTAAAAAAATAAAATAAAAAAGGCAAAAAGACCTCTCTCTCATGTATATTTACATGTCTGTTTACAGTACCACACATGAATTCCCTCCCATTGAGTGGGCTTTAAGTCCTATTAGATCACTGTTGATTATCCCCAAGATAAAAGTACTTTACTGCATGAATAGAGATAGTTTGTTGTGTCAGTCCCTGTGGTTATTATGCTTTATAACTGGGAGCATAAGATGCACAATCCATTGATTTTTCTCCCCTAGCAGCTTGAATAGTATCCTCTGACAATTTGAGAGCTAGAGAAACAAGTAAGAAGCCCCAAGCTTACCTGAGGAACTTGTGGCAGCTCACTACTGCTGGGTGAGAGAGAGTTGGTATTCTGTAAGGGAGTGATGCTAGATGCTAGATAGGTTGGCCAGGCTCCAGTGGAGGAACTTTCACCAAGAGACATCTGGGCACACAAACGTGACTGAATAGACTTTTAACATATATGTCAGAATGCATGAAATTCAGTGGGAGGGCTACAGAGGGGTTGCAGATAGGGGAGGGGATCTAAATATGATTAAGATGTGTGTATGTATTGTATAGAATGCACAAAAATTCAATAAAAATATTTTTAGAGAAAAAGTAAAAAGAGGGCTGAGAATAGAACTCATTGGTAGAGTATTTGTCAAGTGAACACTGGACCTTCAGTTCAATCAACAGTACTGAAAAAGATACACCTTGTAATAAAAGAAATGTATTTCCTATTTACAAATAACAAAATTTTAATTGAAAATTTCAAACCAACAATTGAGCATATCAACTACTTAAGTTTAAGGGTTTGTACTCTGTGTAGTAATAGACTGAAATTGAAATTCCATAAAAATTAATGAACTGTTTAGCAATAAGCAGCAAAAAATATAAAACGTGACAGAGAATTTAAGAAGTTGTGTCTGTGGTTAGGCCCAGCTATGAATTATAGTCTAAAATACATTGATATGTAAATTATTTCCAGATTGGTCAATAAATTTATATTAGTTTCAGCCAATACACAAAATTTGAACTTATTTGGCAATAATGGTATCTACACTCTAAATTTACTATTAACAGAGTAACACAATAGGATGATGTGCATTAAAATAGTTCAACCTTATTAGAACACTAAAGTCAAAGCAAGATGGACATTTGCACAGCAACTTTTTAACAAGGGGAACAGAAAGTAGAAGCAGGAAGTGTATTTTATGTATGAGACCTGATTTTCATAAAGGACCCAATAGAGACAGGAGAATCGGTTCTAGAAATATGTCTGTCAAATTATTTTTTTCTTATTTAAAAATACAACCTCAGCACTAATTTTACAATCTATACAAAACATTACTTACATTTGTTAAACAGGTCAGATTATTTTCTAAGAAGTGGACCCACACACATGAGCTTTTGGGAAACAAAAATAGACTCAATACGCTTTAAAGAAAGACAAAAAAAAGGATGGGTAAAAGAGGACATGTAGTTGAGGCAGGGTAGTACAATGGGAAGCAGTGATGGGGAAGGTGTCTGAATATGATTAAATACATTATATGAAATTCTCAATAAAAATATTTTTAAAAGCATGATTTTCATGTTTTGTTCTTCAAATAAAATGTCAGTTTTCAAATAAAAAATTAAAATTAGCATTTTCAGAGTCAACATAGGAAAACACCTTTCACCATCCAAAGGAAAGTAATGTTTTCTTAGGATTATAAAAGGCAATAACTATAAAAGTAATCTATCATGTCATAAAATTTAGAAATTTGCTAGTAAAAAGGGCAAAGTTGTAAGGCATATATGGGGAGGAAATATTCACAGCCATTAACTTTAAAAAAAAACAATTAGTGTTTATAACATACAGATAAGTTACATTTAATTTTTTAAGTAATGCAAAAATATGCAAATGTATTAAAATTTCCCAAGTCGACTGGCATCAGTAATTGAACAATAGGCACATGATCTTATACATCTGTTAAATGCCTGAAATTGAAAAGTTCAACACCAAAAATTGACAAAATTAGAAGAATGCATTTCCCTAAAGATTTTGAGAAATGAAAAGAATAAACTATGGTCAAAAAATAATGGCTTGTTATAAACTTTTTATTGTACTAAAACTCTCAATGAACCTAGAAATTGAATTCTAACATGACAGTTCAACAAAGAGGAAGCATATTTCCACCTATAGGCTAATACAAGTGTGTTCATGTAAGCTTTATTCCCAATTGTACTGAAGTGGAAATAACTCAAATGTCCATTAACTAGGGAACTCTTTACATAAGGGAATTCTATTCAGCAATGAATATGGGCTGCTTATCATGCAAATGCATGAATAGGTCTTAAATCATTATACTGAGTTAATGTCTCTACTAGTTATGAAACACTACTTAACAAATTACATATTGTGATACATGAATAAATTTGTAGAAAGTATAATGAAATTATGTTCCAAGTATCAGGTGCATTCTTGTGAAGGGTTGAGAGGAGTCAGGGACTGATTGTAAATAAACACAAGTGCATATTTGAGTTACTGAAATATTTCTATCCCTAAAGTGATATATAGATATATGCAACTTATACACAGGTATGTGTGCATTTAAACATGTGTAAGTTTTATCCTAAAAATTAAATTCAAGCCTGGAGAAAAAAGTAGGGTGCTTACGCTTTGCGAAACTCAGTTAAAAGAACATTGTCCCTATTTCATTTTAAATTATCCATAGCAAATTTGTATAAACTATAAATCTAGTCAAATTAAGTGTCATCATTAATACATTATAGCCAGAAAAACAGTATTATTTGATTTACAAAATTTTAAACTATGGAGTGAAATTTAGAGGTAGAATATTCTATTTGAATATTAATTTTTGGTCAATTAAATAATGAAACATAACTACTGAAGCCACATTATCATAATTATCAGTCACATTGTCAGAGCATAATCAAGTGAGCTGTAAGGATAAAGCATCTCTGTTTTAAGTAGCTTTGTCTTTTCTTTGTGATATCTTCCTTGTTCTTTCTACTCTGAGCGATCCTCGGAGTGTGGTTTCACACTCTGCTTCTGCCATCATTAAAGTCGATTTTCCTTGCACATATTCATTGCACTGACTTATTTTGAGATTATCCAGATTTGGCAAGTATACTACAATTGACATCTACATTTTAAGGCACAGTCCAGTAATAAATTAATTACTTTTAAATTTTTACCTCAGTAGTTTTAGAAAGAGAATGCCTCAGAGTACTAACATTCCTTACCCATTCATAAGCATTGGTTGTACAGTTGAATATCATCTATCTGCACTCCTCCCCCATCCCAGTCTTTCTCAAAAGTGATTCAGACATATGTACTTGTTCGAAGGTCTCACGGTTTTAGATAGAATCCCCTTACTGATTAGTTCTTGCTGATGTCCACTCCATTCAATTCACTTATGGACTCTCTCTTTCCACATTAAAAAACATCCATCTTTCAGGCTGGAGAGATGGCTCAGCGGTGAAGAACACTGGCTGTTCTTGCAGAAGACCCAGGTTCAAATCCCAGCACCCACATGGCAGCTAACAACTGTCTGTAACTCCAGTTCCAGGGGATCCAAAAACCTCTTCTGTCCTCCGTGGGCACTGCACGACACCAGTGCACTTACCTACATGCAGGCAATACATGCAAACACATAAAATGACAATAATAAATGAAATATTTTTTTCTTTTTAAAAAGTATTATTTTTAAATAGTTTTTTTAATTATTTATTTAATAACCACATAATTAGAAGAAGCATTTCATGATAACAGCATTGACATATTCAATAAAAATTTCCAGAGCTAAGATGCATCAGTTTCAAAATTGTCTATAAATTTTTAGGTTTACAGTGGAATTAATACAGTTATACAATATGTACTCAGTATAAACTTTTAAGGCATAAAATTAAGTGAGGGTTAAACCTTTTAAAAA